TAAAGGTGCTTAAAAGGTTCTTCACAGAACCCTTTTTGGTTCCACAAAGAACCATTCAGTCAACGGTTCTTTAAAGAACCATCTCTTTCTCAATTTTTTATAATCTGAAGAACCTTCTTTTGCCACAAAGAACCTTTTGTGAAACGTAAAGTTTCTTCAGATGTTAAAGGTTCTTTATGAAACCATTTACACTCTGTGGCCAAGTGATGCTTATGGTCCACGATATTGGTACATATTCTGTGTAATGAACAATTCTTTGTGACTGTATATTTCAAGTTGGAAAAGACATTTAGTTACCACTTTAAGTGAACCTTAGTTCCCAGGTCATCTACAAGATGGATTAAAATGCTGATAAAGTCAAGAAAAGATGAGACATAAACACATGACAGTATTATTAAAATGTTAAAATGTAAAAAAATAAATAAAATAATAATAACAAAATAAATAAAACACGTTTATTCTGTTGCACCTAAAAAAATAATTTGGCGACTAAGTTTTTTTTCATATAGGAGCCAATGGCTCCTTACTCGATTTTTTTGTCTGGAGCCCTGGTATGTATATATATAGTCAACAAAAAAAACTGACCTCATGGTAGGTCTGTCCTGAGCAGTTTATACTTTGTTGCTAAAATCATTTCTCTTTGGGGAAAACAAGTCCTTACTCCTTACATCCTTACTGTAACACAGCAGTAGAATCTGTACAGTAAAAAACACTTTACAGATTCTACTGCTGCGCTACAGTAAGGATCTTACTGTTGAAAAGAAAGTCTTAGGGATGACAAGAGGTGTTGACAAGTTTAATTTTTAGGTGAACTATCCCATTCAGAAAAAAAAGTAGAACATTAAGATTTTTTTTTATTTTTAAGATTTAGACAATTCTGTTCTAACAGTAAGAAACAACAATTCTGATTGGTGGAAAAAAATAATAAGTCTGTTTAAACGTTATTGCTATTGAAAAAGAAAAAAAAAAACTTAACGAGTGTGATTTTTACTTTCAAAATTCTACTGTTGTGTTCTATAGAACATCTGAAAGTAAGTCATAGGGGTCTGAAATGACATGAGGTGAAAAGTTTCACTGTTGAGTGAAGCATCCCTTTAAAAAATGATTTATCAGACTAGGAATGGGAAAAAAACAGTGCGAACACACATCTCATCTGACTACTCATTTAATATTCCCATTGCCAGCAGGCTTTATCCAGAGCTCATTTACAGTTCCTCTTGAGTCTTTCATTTTATTGATCGATTGACTCATCGGACAGGAAAATCTTGATGATCATGAGCTCAAACGCTGCATACGGCCATCGATCTTCTCCAGCAAATTGTTCAGGGAAATCCCATAACTCTTAAAACATTAAGCTATTTATTTCGCAATCGCTATAACTACGACAAAAACAAACACAAGAGGAGCGCTAATATAATAGAGTAATGACATATTTGGCATGAGTATCCCAAGCCCCAGGATAGTTCGTTTGTCACCTAATTAATCTGGAAGACTTAGGTCGCCATTTTTGGGAAGAAAAAGCACCACGCATGATTAGCTCTTGCGTCTTTGAATAATTGAAGGTAATAAGAAAGCTGGAGAGCGAGGTGCTTCAGAAAAATCACAAATGAGAGCATTAGAGGCGTGATGGATGGAGCGTCGACTCGATTTTGAGCGGCAGACTCCATCACGTGACACCACACACGCCCCGTCCATGAACATGCCATCTTTTGGAAGATTGTGTGTTTCTAAAGGGTTGGAAAGAAGTGAAGAGGAGCTACATCTTCACGGGACAGCCTGCCTGACAGGTCATGTTGGTAAAGCCTGGCGCTTAAAGCAGAAAATCAATGGTACATTTACTTGGGCTCAATGTTAATCAATACGCAGTGTGTACAGATATGGGCATAGAAAGACGAAGAGACAGCGAGAGAAAGAGAGCGCTGAAATATTTATCCTACAGATCCCTTTCATACAGCGACGCCAAGCAAACAATACCACACGGCCAACACCCAAACGAAGTGCTGTTGGATCCTTTACAAAGAGCCTGGAGCATTAAAACTCAGCTCAGCCCAAAATAGGGAGAGCACAATCCCAACTCACATAAACAAACTCGCACTCAGATAAATCTTTTCTTCATCACAAAACATGTAATGTAATCAACATTCCCTCTTCTTCAGATTAGTCAGAGCACTTCAGCACAAGGGACAGTGCAGTAGAAATTAAGGATTGGCAGTATAGCATATGCCACACTAAAGGTACATACTGTATCACAAAATAGATATTTTTGCTGGTGAATTAATTTTACTTCTGCTGATAAGGTTATTTTTAGTGAAGTTAAAACATTTAGCCCAACCAGTTCTTAAGAACTGATTCATTTTTGTGAATCAAAAACATTTAGGTGAACAGTACAATCTGATTCCAGAGAACGATTCTTAAAGGGGTCATATGATGCGATTTCAAGTTTTCCTTTCTCTTTGGAGTGTTACAAGCTGCTTGTGAATAGAAAAGTTCGCTAAAGTTCCAAAGACTAAAGTCTCAAACCCAAAGAGATATTCTTTATAAAAGTTAAGCCTCGTCCACGCCCTCCTAAAATGCCTCGTTTAAACACGCCCCCACATGTCTACATCACTGTGTGGGAAGATTTGCATAACACCGCCCAAATGTTCACGCAAAGAATGAAGGCCTAACTTTGATTCTCGCTGTAGTATTGTTGTTTCCGCCGCCGCCATGTCGTGGAGACGCTGTGTGTTTCGTTGTGAAAGCGAAACTACTTTATTTGGCCTATCAAAAGAGGACACAACTAGAAATCAGTGGTTAAGTTGCAACACTGTTCCAGAACAGTTCAACCCAAATATTCAGATGTGAGCAACACATTTTACAGAGGACATATGTTTACGCGGCACGATGCAACGCAACGCGTAAAAAGAC